ATAAACAAACAGATGATGGAGCCAAACAAAAAGGAACAAAAGCATAAAATGAACAAACCAAATATAATTAACTGGAAATGTGAATCTGTGTTTTGTTGTGTATGTAAAACACATGTAAACTTGTTTGTACAACTCATCCACAGCACTTCTTTTTAACCGAAATCAGCAACCCGACTCATCTAAGTCTGCAGTGTCTCTGAGGATTCAGATGTTTGTTCTGCAAGTCCACTAACGTCCACTAACTTCTGGCAGCCAGAGGACATGTAGGATCTGGGTTAATTGGGACCTTGGACTTGTGGATCCTGATTCAGTGTGAGGATTCATGTCATTGGCCTGAGTCAGTCAGCGACAGTTTTACAAACACTGAGATATAACTTGCTGTGGCAGTAACTGAACATCATCCTCGGCACATGCTCTAAGCCAGGGGTTCCCAACTGCGGTCCTTGAGGAACACCATCCTGTGTTTTAGTTGTTTCCCTGCTTTGACACGCATGTTTTGAATGAATGGTGATTAACAGGCTTCTGCAGAGTTTGAGGAAGTAATTGTGTTGGAGCAGGGAAACAACTAAAACGTGTAGGGTGGTGTTCCTCGAGGACCAGGGTTAGGAACCGCTGCCCGAAGCTCATCAAACATGTTTCGCAAGATTTTGCTACATTGCATGAGATTGTGCAAAATATACTTTACAAGGTTGAACATGAGATGATCTCAAACTCTGGAATGAGCAGCGTTCCTTCAAGGAATATTTGGCTTTTAACAGTCGTTTCATCCATTTATGATCAAATTCTTCAGTTTATAAATCATAAATTATAAAGGAATTTCTGTAAATGATACTAGAGCTTTAAATCAGTGAAAGGTAATTTTATATTTTTCTCTCTAAATTAGGAAAACAAGTTAAAATACATTTTTGCACCAATAATGACCCCATCCATCCATCCATCCATCCATCCATCCACTGAAAATGTTTTTCTTCCACCTCTGTGCACTGAGCCAGCCCGTCAACCACAATCCTTCCTTCTGTATTTCTGCTGTTCTTCTCTCTAATGAGGAGTTGCAGGTCCGATCTCTCAGACGAGTTCTTGATGCTTGTTAAAAGTCGCCTCCATCTGGTTGTGCACGCAGAGGTGTGAGCGGCGTCAATTTGAGAGTGCCGTTAAGACAGCTCGTCTGGAGGAACCGCTCCTCGTTAATTTTTTTTCACCTCAACGAGAATCAAGAATCACCTCACGTCACGCAGCAGCTGCCTCGCCCAGATCCTCTCCACTCTCTTCACCTCCACTCCACAGAAATAAAAGCAGCTTCTGCACCAGTTTCTCTTTCCCCTCAGTGACCACCTTGACCTTTGACCTCAAGCTGATGCTCATCAGCTGAACTCTAATGTCCATCTAGTTCAGTCTGAAGCATTAGTCGCATTTAATGGCCGATTTAACAGATGGCACTTATGGGGGGCTGTTTTAAAGTTAGACAGTCAAAAATTAACATCAATATTTTGGTTTATTTAGCCTTTCATAAGAAAAAAATAGTTTTTTTTTTCAAAGTCATATTTTCACCATGTTATTCATATATTTATAAATGTCATAGTTCCAAACTAAATATTAAACTTATAAGCTAAATATTTAGATTACAAACTAAATATTTAACTTGCAAGCTAAATATTTAGTTCCAGATTAAATATTTGGTTTACAAACTAAATGTTTATGTCTAAGCTAAATGTTTAATTTACAAACTAAATATTTAACTTGCAAGTTAAATATTTAGTTAGCAAATTAAATGTTTATTTTGGACATTAAATATTTAGTTTGGAAAATAAATATTTAGGGCCGAGCTAAATATTTAGTTAGCAAATTAAACATTTATTTTGGAAATAAAATGTCTAGTTTGGAAAATAAATATTTAGCTCTGAGCTAAATTTTAGTTAGTAAATTAAATATGTATTTTGGAAATTAAATATTAAACTTTGAAAATAAATATTTAGGTTTGAGCTAAATATTTAGTTAACAAATTAAATATTTAGTTTAGGAATTAAATGTTTATCTTAGAAATTAAATGTTTATCTTAGAAATTAAATGTTTTGTTTGGAAATTAAATATTTAGCTTGGACAATAAGCATTTAGTTTGGAAATTAAATGTTTAGTTTTGAAAATAAATATTTAGCATGGAAATTAAATATTTAAGTTACACCTAAATATTTAGTTCATTAACCAAATATTTAACTTGCAATTTAAGCATTTAGCTTGTAAACTATATATTTAATTTGTAAATTAAATATTTAGTTTGGAATTGACATTTATAAATGTATCAATGACATGGTGAAAATATGACTTATGAAAGGCGACATAAACAAAAATATTGATGTTAATTTTTGACTGTGTAACTTGACTAACAGCACTCCATAGGCACTGGATGCATTCACTTTCAGCATTTTTTCATAGTGCAGTTCTTTTTGTATGTCTTTTTACAGCAGGGCTATTCAAATGGTGGTCCGGGGGCCAAATCAGGCCCATGAGTGCGTTCAGTTCGGTCCACCAATGGGTTCATTTTAAATAAAACTAGATTTTAAATCATAAAACAAACTCACTTAATTAGAAGAACTGCTTGATGTCTGCCCCCTGAGCTCTTGGCTTTCAGTAACTGTGCCCCCCCCTGAGCATTTTAGTAGAATGGCCCTGTTTTACAGTGATAAATGCATGTTGGACCCACTGTTTGTTCACTGAGACACAGCTGCTGTATCTAACTTTTAAATCAGAAGAATCGGAAATCACCATCTTCAGGCTAAAAGAACAAAACCAAAGTCAACGGTTTAAGGTGAATAAATGCTCAGGTATTATCTGAATCATAATTTTAATGTAGCCACAGAAATACATTTTTATCCCGTCATAACGTGCACACAGACACGAGCAAAAACACCATCAGCATTCGTCAATGGGTGGAAACTGTAAATACCGTTTCTCCTTTTATTTTTTGTCAAACATGATACATTTCTGTCTATTTCTGGAATCTGGACTGTTAGACACAACATGACATAAAATAATAAATAATAATTTTTTAAATGCTAATTTCAAAGCTGAGGCTTTTTTACTCAAGGACACTTCAGCAGAGACAAACGGCTAAAGCAGGAATTAAACTTATCTGTGACCGAATAAACAAAACAAATCAACAAACCTGCTGCCGCAGAGATAATTAAACACCCGGAGTAGATCTTTAACCAACTCTGAATTACAAATCCTTAACTTTTATGACTCAGTGAATCACTTCAAATTAGAGATAATCTGCCGATATCGGCTACTTCTTAAAAAGATGGTAATCAGCCACGCCTGCACACAATTAATCAATTACCAAGTACAAAAGAGACGATGCAGCAGCTGCTGAGCACTGTAGCTCACAATTAGTATAATTTTGTTTGTTTACATACAGAAACAGCCAAAGTGACCGATGACAGGTCGAGACAGTGTCGGTGGAAGAGCTGTGTGGGATGAGACGTCCAACAACTTTCATGTACTTGTACGTACTACTATTTATACACAGATAAATGGGCTTTGTTTACAGCGAGCGTGTACCTGCGTTTTAGAATGAACACATCTGGAAAACTACTGGAGCAAGGTCTTTCAAACGGCACCATCTGATTTTGATCTGGATAACATTTGTATGTCTGATTTTATAATTGGTAACGGGTACAATTTAGGAATTATTGTTATGATTTGTTAAATTAAAAATACCCCCCCCAATCAGGGCTTAATTTGTAAACTGATCAATGCCGGAATGCAAATAGTGGGCAGGTCAGCTGTTGTGGGGGTGGGGTGTCTGGGGACTCCTCCCCCAGGAATTTTTGAATAAAGTAGATGTGCATTTTGGTGTATTTTAACAGGTTGTTAAACACCTACGTTTACCTACATTTGTAAACACTCCACTTCAAGTATTTACTAGAACCCCCCCTCCTCCCTTTACTTGATGGTTCTGCACTCGACTCTTCTCCGCTGAATTCACTGTTCAACTCCACATGTGAAACCTCCAGACGTCTCCTTCGTCTGTTCATGGCGGCTGCCTGTGGGCTCCTGCCCACATACGACTGCCTGGTTAGATCAGCACTCACCCCCCCCCCCCCCCCCAACCACCACCACCACCACCACTATTTGGAGATTTTTTTAAGGGTGGAGGTGGAAATGCTTACTTGAAAAGGCAGCTTGTATGTGATATTAAAAAGCTCGTAAGTGGCTGTTGTGTTTAAAATGAGTGTTTATGTAATTGTTTTCAGTTCACGGAACCCACCCTATCAAAATAAGAGCATTCCCAGATCCTGTTCTGGTAGGATCCGGCTCAAATTAAGCCCCGCCCCCAATAAAAACTGGTGTTGGGCCACCAGATGCCCAGATAAAAACTTGTATCGGTCAACTTCTTAAGAAAATAAATACAAACTGCAAAGATAACTCAAATGGCAGGACATTCACTATTTAGATATTTTTGTTACTTTTTAGACTTTACGTTAAATTATTTTAGACTTTTAAGTTCAAGGTAATTAGGATCATAAATCACAGATGTTCATCTCTTCTCACACATCTGTTTGTTTTAACGGCTTGTAAAAGTGCTGCGAACAGAAACAAATAGATCCAAACGTCACAACGGTTTTCAAATTTTGCATACCTGTGTGTGTGTGCGTGTGTGTGTGCGTGTGTGTGGCTACACGGTCCTTGGCTAACTGGCTCAATATACAGACTGGAATACATCGGCGTAATAATATTTGTGAATACACAATTTACAGTGCGATAACTCGTTAAGGCATACTGTATTCTTACACGACATAAATAACATCCGTTTATATAGAAAACAGAAAAGCAGGCGGTGAGTTATTAAAGGTTTGTTCCGCTCAAAAGCAAACTTTTAGGAGCTTTGTTCAGACATGAAAGCACCCAGAGCTCTTTTAAATAAAGTACATCCTTGTTTAATAACCAGCAGAGGCATCTAAGTATGTTTATTAAAGTACAGTACTTAAACACAGCTTTGATATACTTCTGCAATATTTTAATGGATGTTATATTTAATTTTTTACCCTTTATGCTTGAGGTTTTTTATTTTCTGCACAGTTGCTCCTTTGTTGCTGGCAGTGAGAATAAATGTTGCTTTCAAACTGTTGATGCTGTTCTCTCCTGCTTCCATCGCACTAAATTAGATTCATTAATCACGTCGCATTAATGTTGAAAATGTTGGGACGCCGTGTAAAACGAATTCTGCTTTTCTCTGCGTTTCACACAACTTTTCAGAATTAGATTCGAGTATTTTCCACTTTCGCTTGAGGAGTTTTGAGATCAGTTTGAAAAGTTCCCGAACTTTCGAAATAAAGAGTTGGTCTCGCGTTTCGTGGTGCTTCTTTTTAACGATGTGCTTTTATTTTTGTGACGGTTTATGATTAAAATACTTGATGAGATTCTAATTTTGCACTTAATTACCTCTGACTGTGCTCTTGTCCTCACTCCGCTCCTTACCTTTATCTTCTACCAGTTCAAGCCCTCTGTTGAAAGTCATACATCCTTCACCATCGGTTACAATAAATATCCTTTAGTGTTCGGTTCTGTTCATCCCAACCGGGATGAAGCTGGGTCCGTCCAGCTGAACGCTGTGTGCTTACAATGTGCTGCTCCTGTGGGCACAGAGAGAGGACCTGCGTACCCATAATGCAACTGGGCGCTCACTCGGTTGAAGTTAGACTCCACATGCAGCAGCTGAAGTCGACGCAGCAGCAGCAGGAAGCTGTCTGCTCGGTCCTGGTTCTGATTTGGAGTCCTGGCTGTTCTCTGGCTGTGTCTCTGCAGGTTCCACCAAAAACTCCTCGCCTCCGTCCTGGCCGTCGCCTCCTCCCACCTCTCCAGTCGCCAGCTGCTTCAACCTCAAGTTGACGGAGCCGTAAGTCCTCTTGGGTCGAACGAACGCCGCCCGGCGTCGGTACATCTCGCCTCGGCAGATGGACACCATGAGCAGCACGGACAGGAACATCCCCCCCAGGGTGAGCAGGCCCAGGCCCGCAATGATGCACTTGTCCAGGTGGGAGCCCAGCTGGGCGTAGTAGATCTCCAGCTTCTCCATCTGCCGTGCAGACACGGAGTCCGGGTCCACTTTGGCCTCCCTGGGGATGGTGTAGGCGATGACCACCAGGACAATCCCACTCACCAGAAACACAAGCGCCAGGATGAAGCCGTAGTCGGCGGTCTGGTCGTCAGCCGGGCTGAACGCTGTGAAGTCCTGACCTCCTGCTGCACCTCCTCCTCCTGCTGCTGCACCTCCCTCCTCATCATCGTAAGACTGAGGCGAGACCTGCAACTGAAAGGAGGGTGGTTATAGATAAAATAAACAAACTCAGTTAAAACAATCAAACAGAAGCTAAAATTAGCACAATAGTAGCTGAATGCTAAAAGTAGCAGGATGGTAGCTAAATCCAGAAATGTAGATAGTAGCAAAATGTAAAAAGTAGCAAAACAGTAGCTAAAAATAAAAGTAGAAAAATAGTAGCCAAATGCTGAAAGTAGCAAAATTGTATTTGAAAGCTAAAAATAACAAATAGTAGCCAAAACTATAAGTTGCAGAACAGTAGCTAAATGCAATATGGTCACTAATGCTAAACATAGCAAAACAGTAGCTAAAAGCGCTAAAATGTTAGCAAATGCTAAAATTAGCAGAACAGTAACTAAAAGCTAAAAGCGCTAAAATATTGGCAAATGCTAAAATCAGCAGAACAGTAGCTACTGTAAATGCAATATGGTTGCTAATGTTAAACATAGCAAAACAGTAGCTAAAAACACTAAAATGTTAGCAAATTCTAAAATCAACAGAACAGTAGCTAAAAGCTAAAATAAATAAAATGGTAGCTAATGCTAAAATAAAACAGATTAAGCAAAAATAGCAGCTTGTACAAAAACAAACTAACAAACTGAGCCCTGACAGATCCCATCTTTAATGATAGCAAAGGATCATGGGTAATTTCCTGAACTGACAGAAGTACCTTTAATCTTTGTAATCTCTGTTCCAACATTTAAATTAGTCTTTTGTGTGATTATGTTTTGTTATTATTTTAACTCAGAAGACCAAAGTCGTAATAAGAACTTCTGGCTGAATAAAGTGCAAAAGTAAAAACAAGAAGATGAAACAAAAGAAAACTGCAGACCTCTCATTATCTAAAGAACCATCAGGACGTGGATTTTTCCACTAATCTGTTATTTACAGAGATTTTACCAGAAAACTGTTAATACCTCTGTAATGATGGTGAACGAACAGGTTAGTGCTTTAATATCGTTTTGATCTAAAAATGTGTGGAACTGACTTCAAAACTAGTCAAATGGTTAAAATTTACTTCAGACAAAAAGCAAAAACAGCTGCTGGATAGAAAGCACGCTGAGATTAGATTAGATTACAGGAGTTCAGAAACAAAGCTGCCACTTTGATCCTAAATGTTTAAAAAGATGACCGAACTCACTTTACGGTCGCTTGACGTCGAGGGCTGACAGTTTGGAGACACGGCCGGTCTTTGCTGCTCTTCCTGTGCGTTCTTCGGCTCCTCGTCCTGCTGGTAGGAGGCGTTCTCAAAGCCCCGGGTCGCAGACCCCCAGGGTCCGGAGGCCGGCGTTGGAGACGGGCCTCTCCGGCCTCCTCGCAGCTCCCGGAGCTCCACGGCGTTCAGAGACGACTCCATCGATGTTCGCTCATGTCTTCATCAGACTCCGATCCATTTGGTCCTGACTGTGTGAACGGATCACAATAATTACTGACGGATTGGGAATAATAATCTGTAGATTTGAGCTTTTATCCATCAGGACATGGTCTTTATTCACGGTATTTTCACTGAGGCAGATGTGCTACAAACTACAGCATAAGAACATTTGGGCGCATTGGGAAAAGAGTTCTGACATTTTTTAAATGGGTGTGCTCTAAAAATTACCAACTAAAATTAAAGTTGAGCCCACAGTTATAAACAAAAATATCTTACCTGCTGAGCTCACCAAGCACTTATGGAATAAGTTCAGTGTGCTTGATGCAATAAATGCAATTTAACTTATTGTTACGGTTTTGACAACTATACATTCATTATAGTTTCTTAAACTACCGTTTGGGAGCACAAAGCTTTTACATCCAAATGTACAACATTTGAACTCTTACGTGGGTTAAAATTACATTTTTGTGTAGTCGATATTTTACAGACAAGTTTATTTTTAATATTTTTGCTCTAATACCCAGTCAGTGACTTATTTTTAACAAAAATTTAAAGAAACGTTTAACAAACTGGCGTCATGTTTGATGTTTTGATTGAATATCAATTTCAAACTCACTTTATATTTCTCTGAAATGAAGATTTTGTTGTTTTCTTTGTGGCACCACCGAGAATTTACAAAACTTAGTCATGTTTTCAAGACTTCTGCAGTTTTGTTGTGCTTGTTTATTTCTGCAGGCCTGTACCAGCAGGGATGACACAAGTCAGTTCTCTCACCTCGGTGGTTACTTGACTCCATGTTTCCTCCTCCTCATCGACCTGACGCCGTCACTTCCTGTTGAGATAAACGAGGTTAAAAACAAAACAGGTTGCATAAAAGGTTTGCACCTCCATGTGCACCCATAGATCTCTGTGGCGTCGTGCTGTGGGATGAAGGCGCTTCAGAGAATTTGGCCGTACATCCAACTGGACACAACAGCAGACCACGTGCAACCAGCCCAAGACCTCCGTCCAGCATCTTCACCTCCGACATCGTCTGAGACCAGCACCCGGACAGCTGCTGCAACAACCGGTTCACATAACCAAAGAATTTCTGCACAAACCGTCGCACAGCGTCCTCTGCGTGCTCGTTGTTCTCATCAGCGTCTCCACCTGACTGCAGTTTGTCGTAACTCGAGTGAGGCGCTCACATCCGATGGTTGGAGAGGCGCTCTCTTCACTGGTGCACTGGTTTTCACTGCACAGACGGCAGACCGTGTGTACGGCGCCGTGTGGGTGAGCAGTTTGCTGATGTCATCGTCGTGAATCGAGGGGCACACGGTGGAGGTGGAGTTATGGTGCGGGCAGGTGTTTGTTATGGACAATGAACAGGGGCTGGTGTGGGCACACGTGGTCTGTGGTGAGTCCGGCTGGATTTACTGCCAAACTCTCTGAGCGTGGACATTCCAGCAGTCAGCAGCTGCACGCTCCCTCAAAACGTGTGACACCCACTGTTACAAAACAGCACGTTTAAGAGTGGCCTTTTATTGTGGTCAGCCTAAGCTGTGCAACAACGCTGTCTAATCAGCATCACACCTGTGAGGCGCAGGGATTATCTCAGCAAAGGCGAAGTGCTCACTAACACAGATTGATGCAAATTTATGAACAACGTCTGAGAGAAGAAGGCCTTTTAGAAAAAGTCTTAGATCTTTGAAAAGTGGCGGCAAAAACAAAAGTGTTGTTTATTTTTTTGTTCAGTTTGAGACTTTTGTTCTGCAGATAAAATAACTTATGTCTGCAGCCGGTATTCTCTGACATACTTCTTATTTATCAGAGGGGCAGGGAGCCTGGGGGGCCAAATAGAGCCTGGAAGGTCACGTGGGTGGGTGGGGGGGTGTCACAGGAAGCCTGGGGGGCCAAATAGAGCCTGGAGGATCACGTGGAGCTGGGTGGGTGGGGGGGCCACAGGAAGTCTGGGGGGCCACAGGGAGCCGGAGTGGCCCTGAACAGCCGTCAGTCTTTGGTCCCGCAGCATCACCGTGACCTTGTGATGCTGCCAGACTCTGGACCGAAACAGCCCTGCTGTGTGCGTGCGCGCGCGCAGAGATAAGATCAGCTGATAAGCAGCGACTGACACGCTATTCATTAGCCGGAGCAGGAGATTCATATCAGGACTGTTCGGTCCTGGTCTACAGGAGCGGGGGTGATGCGGATTTCTCCGGACGGAACCAGCGGGGCTGGGCTGAGTCCAGGCGGATCCGCCCCGAAACAACACTCCCCAACGGAACCGATCATGGGCGGTGGTACCGAACCGAGCACGGAGAGGCTGGATGCTGAAGCGAGGAAGAGGAGGAGGGAGGAAGGATCTTACCTGGAGCTGACGGGTACCGAGCGGGATCCAGGCGGATGTGAAGATCCGGAGAGATGGATGCTGCGGAGGATGGGGGCGGGGGGGGGGGGGGGGCACTGACCATGCGCAAAAGCAGCTTGTGGTTTTCTGGACTGGTGTGAGTCACACGAACCTCTGACCCACATCAAGCTGAGGCAGCGCCCCCAGAACCACAGACAGATATCGGACCAGTGGCGGTTCTGGAGAGGGGTTGGACAAGGAGTGGCAGCTGCCACTAAATAAACAAATAAACAAATAAATATCTGGCCACCTTATTTGTAGCCAACGTTAAATCCAAAAGTTGAGGACAGGTCCACACTAGAACTTCATCACCTCCCCCATCAGTTTCATTACTGACCACATCTGAAGACTGAGGTTCTCCAGGGACAACGTTTGGGTCAGAACCCTCAGAGGTTCTGTGAACACAAAGACAAAACATGCAGCGCTTTGACTCCAACATCCAGTCGTTTGGGTCTTCCTCTCACACCCAGGCCCGTTCAAATCTGATCCACTCGCAGAAAGAAAGACCTGCCTTTATCTTTATAACTGTTGCCATGGCAACAGGCATCCAGAGTATTAAACCAGCAGCCTTAACAGCTTTGCCTTGCTTCCCCGTTGATATTTGCACACATCTGCCTGATTCCAGCTGCAGCATTTCGATCTGTTTTTAAAGAAACTGCTGCCACGAGATCAAGGAGAAATCAACGCCTTCGCTTTTCTAGCTGTTGAATCTTTTTGTGCTTCTGTTGGGCTGACATTAATATTGATGATTTGAATTTCTACAGATTTTTGATTGAGTCCATCCAAAGCTTCTTTTGTGTGTTTCTTGTCTTTTTCCTCGGTTTGAACACTTCTGGTGTTGGATGGTTCTGTTCATGGCCTTTCAGATTTAGTTTAATGCTGACTGATCTCTGTCGATGTTCAGATGGTCCTCCCTTTTCTAATATTGATCCTCCTGTGTTGTTTTAAATGCACCGGAAATAATTATTAATACCTGATACTGAGTAACTGTTCTAAAATTGTTTCTGAAGCTGAGTTATAAACGATACTTCCCTAATCTGAATAACCCTGTGCAGACGGTCCTTTGTGACTTCCTGTCTGTCTCTTCCTGTTAAACACCTCATGATGGTTTTTATTTTATTTTTTAACATTTATTAGTAACTTTTTGAATGTGCACTGCCCATGTTAGTCTCTCTTCAAACCAGATACCAAGACACTTAAATTGTTTTTCTCTTTCAATTACTTGCCTATATAATTAAATGCTCCTGTTTTTAGTTTTCTACATCGACTTACAACAACCTCGCTGTTTTTTTGTTACATTTCTTAAATACCATTTTATTTTTACTTGTTTTTCTCAGTTTGTACACATCCTTTATGCTTGTCTATTGTTGTTTTGTTGTCCATTGTTGTCATCACTCATTGTTAAAGTCAGGTCTCTCTTGTAAATGAGTCCCCGAGGCTCAACGGGATGAACCTGTATAAATAAAGGTTGAATGAATATAACCTAAATTCACTACTAATAGTTAATTATTACCATTGTAATTGCTTCCTGTACCTTTTAAATAATAAACTGTAATTTTTTCCTCTCTTCAGTCATTTTTTATAACTGTTTATTATTGTTGCTGTTGTCCATTTTTGTCATCATTCTTTGTTGAAATCAGGTCTCTCTTGTAAATGAGTCCTCGAGGCTCAATGGGATTTACCTGTATAAATAAAGGTTGATTGATTGATTAATTTTATAACAACCTTTTTGAGCGCCAATCCAGTTCACCCTCCTAACCAGCAGGTGGCGGTAATGCTCCAAAATATTCTCCTCCAACCGCCAAATAAAACCGAAGAAGAAGAAGTCAACTGCTTCCGGTGTCGGTCTCGCGCCAAAGAGCAGTAATGGAGGGCGCAAACACCAGCGGAGAAACCGAGGCGGTAAAAATCGTTTTGCAACGCAAAGTCCTAAGTAACGATGTCTCTGTTAGGCTCACAGAGATGGCAGGAAAGTCTTTAATAGTCCTGAACTTTTTGAGAGTCCAGTGTGACGGGGTTAGCACGCAATATGCCGCTTGTAAAACCTGTTTAGTGATAGTTAAATACACCAGGGAGTCGGGGACGAGCGGTCTCCTGAGGCACACCTGTAAGCCAGATTACGGAAAGGATCAGCTAAACGTCTCTTCGTGCGTCAAACGGAAACTATCGGATGTCGAGTTTCCGCTGACCAACAAAATTGCTCGCATGTGCAGCCAAGATTTAATCCCGTTCGACGTGGTCGAGGGGAAAGGCTTCATCAACGTCATACAGGAGATGCTCGACATTGGAGCCAAATATGGCGCCAACGTTCAGCTGGAAGACATCCTGCCGTGTGCGCGCGCGGTCTCCCGCCACGCTAAAGAAGAGTATGAGAAAATAAAACAGCTGGTCATCGAAGAGCTGCGTCAGGTCTCCACGAACATTTTACCTTGATATCATGCAGAGATTTCCTAACACTTAATCTGTTTTTTTCTGCTTAATCCCAATAGTCTAAATTGGTCGTCTGTTTTTCATGCAAGATACTTTGAGGGTAACAATGTAATTCCTTTGGTGCAGACTAGAGACCATGCTGTAACCACAGACCTGTGGACAGAGGAGAGGACCAGCACACATTACGTCACCGTTGCAGTCCAGTACATTTTAGACTGGAAAATGGTGAACCGGATTCTGGCCACAAGGGAGTTGGAGGATGTCGAATCCAGTGACGAAATCAGAAGGACTGTGGAGGGAATCCTGCAGGTACCAGATCATCGTTATTTACATGGCGTGTGCAATAAATGGGGCCAATTAATTCATAAAATTGGGAAAAGTATGAGAACATGGTGCAGCAGTAACAACAAAAACATCACGGAAGGATACAAGTAGAGAAGTATAAATAAGTACATCGGTGCGTCGCTGTCCCTCGCTGTAAACAGATCTGCCTATGGCAAGCAGCAGCTTTAACAGATTAATCATTTCTCTTAATAGCACAGGGAGTTTTTCTTCATTTGATAGATTAAGGAAAACATTTTGTATTGTTGTATGACATATGTAACGAGAGACGTTATTTATCTTTGACCCATCAAAATGAATGCGGTCATTTATTTACAGAATCAAAGATTAACATCAAACATTTACATTAATTTGGCAAAATATGAAACAACAACAGCATAATTAATTTTACAGGAAGTGAGAACAATACGGCGATTGTTTTCACTTTTTCAGCAGAACAGCAGACATCAATTCACACGGCGGTGATTGAATTTCTAGCAGAAACAAGAGTTTAAAGATGGAAAATTGAGATTTATCTTACAGAGAGATGTGTGAGGGAATTTATCTGTTTTAACCAGAACAGCACGCTCCATTGAAATCAGCTTGGCCAACGGTACGCTTGGTCGAAATAGAACTTTTACCTTGCAGACGATAGCTTCAGCGTCGGTGTAGAGCTCTCCTTTTGACTCTTTCAGCGTCTCCGTGAGGACAGCTAAAACCTTAGGAGTCGTGTGAGGTTATCCAAACAGAAGTTATAATTCCCAAAATCGTCTCTGGTTCAGCTTGTTTGGTTTAGCAGCATCCATGAATGCCTGGTTGCATTCACGGACTCCCAAACTCCCTGCACTCTGGGTTCCAAGAACTCTGAAACTCTCTCGAACTCTCTGAAACTCTCATGTTGAACTGGGAAGTGTCCATTTAAATGGGCTCTACTTCCGGTTCATTTGAGAGCTTTTTGATTGGTGGATGGACCAAAGCAGAGGTGTGGTTTGTGATGTAAGGTGTTATGGAAAGTCAAGGATTGTTTAAGAACAGACAGAAAGATATCATGGAAAAACCAGACTTCGTGGCGTCTCTACTCAGTATCTTGCTGTAAAAGTTAAACATGACATTTCTTTTCAGTAAACTTTTTAGTTGACCGAAACCTGAACTTTAACACACTTACAACTTTGCTCACTTTCAAAGCAGACGATCAAGAAATTGAATCATTACTCTGTAATGTACTCTAACTTGATTTCACTTTGAATTGAGGAATAAAAATCATTACTACTGTTTAAGTAGATAAAAATGAGTAGTTCACTTCAACATGTAAACATTGTTTGAACTAACACAATTTGATTATCAAAACATTTGTAAAATAGTAATGATCATAGAGAATTGTCTTTTTCCACTTGATTAATTCAAGAAAGAAAGTCTCAGGATGGGTCTAAACTGTATTTCTGGATTCAAATCAATGAAATGACAGTTTCTGTCCATCTGGTCAGTTTTGACATAGGCCTAGTCCACTACAGTATAAATTCAAACTTTTTAAAATTAATTTCTCAAAAAATTTTTTATCGTCTTGGTATCCTCCTTTGCTTGATATCTGCATTAAGCATGTGTAAATAGTGCAGGAGGAGAGTCTGCGGTGGCGTTAAAGCAGTCTGCTCCCCACATAAATAGTGTAACTTATTATTTTTATACATGAATGTTTCTGTTCAGTGCCCTGAGACGACTTCTGTTGTGACTTGGTGCTATATACCGTATTTTCCGCCGTACTCGTCGCGCCACCCTTTAAGTCGCATCAGTCCAAATATGTCTCAAAAAGTGGAAAAATCCATAAATATGTTGTTTCACCGTATATGTCACATCTATTATGCGTCACCGCCGACAACTCGGAAATGTGGACCAGTGTTGTTAAAAATCGATGGGCTGCCAAATGGCGGGAGCGTGCACAGGAGGACTTTAGTTAGAATTTAACAAGATTAACACTTAAAAACAATTATTTGTTTGCTCGAAATTATAGCGAATTTGTGTTTTAGTTGAACTTTTACTTAATAAATTCACTTTAATGGTCAAACTGGCTGCATTTTGCCGGGGCGGTGCAGCTGGTTTGACGGTTCCAAGCAGCCAGCAGAATATATGGCAAGCCGATTGTGTCATTAATAGCTGGTGAAGATTCTCAGTCATCCAGGACACGGTAAATTCAAAGCATAAAGTATAATAAATAAAGTCCAGTTGTTTTTGAATTGGAACTTTTTTGAATTTGTCATTACAGCCACGTTTACCTATTACATGATCCAACAGCATGCCATACTGATACTACTACTCTGCTGCCATCTAGTGGCTGAAAATTGTACTGCTCAATTTTTTAAAGTCATAATGAATGAAAACGGTCATATCTCAGCTAAAAATTGGTTTATAAATATGGGAAAAATCCACAAATATGTCGCTTCGACCTATAAGTCACAGGGAATGTAAATTCTGCAAAAAACTGCAACTTATAGGCTGAAAAATATTGTAAATAAACTGAATTGAATTGAGTTGAATAATCAGGTGTCTCTTGTAAATGAGTCCTCGAGGCTCAATGGGATTTACCTGTCTAAATAAAGGTTGAATGAATTTATAAATTTATTGCAAAGTGCTCTGTACAATTATATTATTGTTAAACATTCTGTTTTATGATGATATTATGCCTGGGCTTTTCATTTGCTAAGGTTTTATGTGTTTTTAACTTAACAGGAATTTGGCATCCTGAGCAAGGACACTGTCTTTGTGACGGATAATAGCTCAAATGTGATGGCAGCATTCAAGGATTATGTGCGAATCTCCTGCGCCGACCATAATATCAACTTGGTCTTAAAACACACATTTGACCACTTGGATGAGGACAACCCAGCACACAGCAGCATCATCAAGCTGTTTAAGGAGACCAAGACCCTTGTTACACACTTCCAAAGAGCAGGGTAAGACATACAATCTTGTCATCTCTGCCTGGTAAGACTGCTTAAATGATTATAAAATATAAGTGAAATAAACAAAGAGCAAATAAGCTACTGTAATTTATAATTGTGAATCCAAAAAAGATTAAAAGCAACTGGACTTCTGTTCTGCAGCTGAAGCCGTTTCAACTTCTCATCTGAGGAGCTTTTCTCAGTTCAGTTTATTTATCAAGCGCCACGTCACAACAGAAGTCGTCTCAGGGCACCGAGCAGAAACATTCATTTCCATAAAAAGTAAGTTAATAACATTATTTATCTGAGGAGCGGACTGCTTTGAGTTTAACTTCATGGCAGAATGCTCATCTGAAAAGAACGGGGAGTGTGAAAGGGGTTTGTAAGCTCAATCATCCAGTAGATGAATCACAAAAAATAAAGTTAAATCATGTCATCTGGACAAGTTTCTCCCTGTATTTATCTACCTGGATGGTTGAGTTTACAAACCTTTTTCTGAACCACTTTGGCCTTGTTTGTCCTCAGGCTGTTCCTGTGAGTTGCATGTTGGCCCCCTGGCCTAAAACATTTCATTGTTGTACACGATGATCGATCATTTTCGAGGGATGGTCCCTTTTTTTGCACGTGTTAGAAGCCGGTTCCTGGGAAATTCATCAGGAGCTTGGCTTGAAACACAGCAATAGCTATGTTTACATGGACATAAGCGATCGGGTTAAACAATAGTTTGGAATAAAAACGCGTCATGTAAACGCCCCATTTGAATTATTTTTTATTTATTCAGCGCGATCCGAAATAATTTGTAATCAGAACGAAACGGGTGGTTTACGCCGATTCCTAACCCGAATGGTGTCCACGTAAATGTTTAATCTGTTCATATTTTTTCCGATCGTGAAAAAACGACCTGACTGCGCATGTGCGACGTTGTCATTTCCGCCTGGCTAATGCTAATAGTATTAGCATGTCGGGGAAGTAAAACTGGTCGGTGAGCGACAACGTTTCTACTAGAAACTTTGAAAGAGCTCAAAATGATCTGTATGACCTGTAGCTCAGTCAGGGAGCGCAGCAACGTCTCCACCGTCATTAAATCCTGTCGCGGGTCCATTTTGGCTCAGGTTTGTTTACGTTCGTCCCGGAAGTAGAACTTCTTCTGTGTTTTTTTAAGGAGAGTTTCCCACTCTGCTCATGTCAGTACTTGTGTTAAGAACAAAGCCCGCTGCATGTAAACGCTACGTTTTAATTATTTAATCTGAAAACATTTCAATCCGGTCAAAGAATTTTGCGTATGTAACCATAACTAATGTAAAAAGAGAGAAACCATCTTTAAACAGAGGAGGTCTCAGATTTCAACTTTCATAAACCCACAGTGCAGCTTTAGGCCTGATGCCCAGTCAGTTTCACACCAGTCAAGACCAGTTCATGTGACCAGAGTGGTCCATCTGTGAGTCAGACTAACAAACCCCTATGGTGAGGAGTGAAAGAGCAATCTGCATGTGCTAATCTTCAAGTTTACAGAACACCTCCAGCTTTGTAACTTGAACCCCCACACTCCCTGTTCTTAGAAATCTTAGAAGCGAAACGTCTTCAGCTGCAGAATCCAGTTTTTGCTTTTAATCTTTTTTGAATTCAACGTGTCCTGGATGACGAGAATCTTCACCAGCATGCAACTGTAAACCTCTTCTTTTAATAAAATATTTTTCCAAAAGAAAGGCCATGAAATTGCAACTTGTCGTCACTGTAACCTGCACGGTCTCTTCTTTCAATTTTAGGTTACAAAAGGCGCTGGACCAACCGCTGAAGCAGGCTGTGGAGACGAGGTGGAACACCAGACTTTCAATGCTCCAGTCAGTAAACGATGCTCTGAAGTCTGGGAAGCTTCATGACATCCTGCTTCACCGAAACGAGCTCCGCTACCTCAACCACGTGGACTTTGAACTTCTTGAGGACGTCATCCAGATCCTGAAACCTTTTGATGAGGCGACCAGGCACCTCTCCACTGATCAGACACCCACCCTCCACCTCGTCCTCCCAACCAAGGCAACCCTGCTGAACGGTTTGCTGACCCAGGATGGAGACGGTGCGATTGTGAAAGAGGTAACTTGGTTGGTTTTTATCCTTTAGGTTTATCGTTCAAGTAGCTAACAGGAGTTGGGCCCGATCCAATAACGGCGATAAAAACAAGAACAGAATTGAAACAATGTTTGTTAATTTTTAAATTTAGAACTTCTCCTTCGCCTGAGAACTTTTATGCCCTGTGATAATGATGTTGCATGTACCATCGTGTGATTTCACTCCTCCTCTAGCTTAAAGAGAAGTTGGCCCAGGCCGTGGAGCTGAAATTCAAAATCCACCTGTACCATAAGGTAGCCACAGCTCTTTGTCCTAGCCTGAGGAGCTTCTTGAGGAAAAAACTGTACGGTCACGAGTACGAGGAGGTCATCAACACCCTGGCAGCACTCGCAGGAACAGAGGAGAGAATGAGAAGCCGTGTGAAGAAAGAGGGTGAGTAACACTAGCATCAACAGAGCACTCAGCAATCCTAAATATGAACACAAAATGTCTTCATTTATCTCGTAATGTCTAATATACGTAATACTAATAACACACAACACAAATAAGTACCGTATTTGTCTAATAAAGTGGAAAAATCCATAAATATGTCTCTTCGCCGTATACGTCGCATCTATTATGCGCCACCGCCGACAACCCAGACATGTGGACCGGTGTTGTGCCAAAAATCGATGGGCTGCCAAATGGCGGGAGCGTGCACGGGAGGACTTTAACAAGAATTTAACAATATTAACACTTAAAAACAATTATTTGTTCGCTTGAAATTTTAGCAAAGGTGTGTCTCAGTCTAACATTTGCTGAATAAATGCACTTTAATGGTCAAATCAGCTGCATTTCGCCGGGGTGGTGCAGCTGGTTTGACGGTTCCAAGCAGCGAGCAGAATGAAGGTGGGGAGCTACGGCAAGCCGACTGGGTCATTAGAAACTGGTGGAGATTCTCAGTCATCCAGGACGTGGTAAATTCAAAAAAGTTCAAACAAAACAAAGTATAAAGTATAATAAATAAAGTCCAGTTGTTTTTGTCTTGAACTTTTTGGAAGTTGTCGTCATAGCCACGTTTACCTATTACATGATACAACAGCATGCCATACACTATTACTACTCTGCTGCCATCAAGTGGCTGAAATTGGTACTGCTTTTTTTTTTTTTTTTTTTTTTTAAGTCAGAATGAATGAGCCATATCTCAGCCAAAAACTGGTTTATAAATATGAGAAAAAATCCATAAATATGTTGCTTCGGCCTATAAGTCGCAGGGCAAAATTATGTAAATTATGTAATTATGTAAATTATGCAAAAAACTGACTTTTAGGCCGAAAAATACGTTATGTTAGACTACAAAGAACTACAATGAATATGGCAGTTTTATAAGAATCTGTTTTTTTCTTTTTAAAGATTCACCTTCAGAGCCAGTTGTCACAGAGGTGCACAACTTCTTTGCATTTTGTGTTGAAGAGGAGGAGAGGGAGGAGGACAGCGGCGATACAGAGTCATGGGGCCGCCAGTTGGTGCTACAATACATGAGTGACTCCAAGTTGAGAGGCTTCCAGTCTCTTCTCAACTTCTGGCAGGAGAAGTCCGGTGGGCTAGTGCCGGTCGCCAAGAGGCTGCTGGCAGTCCCAGCAACGAGCACTCCTTCCGAGTGCAGCTTCAGTGTTGCAGGGAGGCTGATTGAGGAGAGGCGTTCCACCCTCAATCCACAAAATGTAGATGAAATTTTGTTCCTGCATAGCAACACGTAAGGTTCCTGGACTGACTATCAGAATCGTCACATGCATCTAAAGCATTAACACGTTTTTGTGTCGTTAGCCCTAATTAGTTTCTGGGCAGTGTTTTCTTGTTCAAATGTGCTGAAGAGTGGGAAATACGCTGATATGGCAGTTGTATTTTTGTTTAATATTTGTATTATATGCACATTTTTTTTTCTTTTTCCAAAACCGATATATGTAAATGTAATGCATTCATGTTTTTTTGTTGTTGAGGACTGTTCTCTTGCTTGGTGCATTTTTAAAAAAAATTTTTGGTTTGTTTAAGTAATTTCAAACAAGAGTAATGTCACTAATTAAATAGTAAAACGCAACTTTATTGGTTGTTTGTTCATTCAACTAAGGTAGACATGGTGTGACCCATGTACAGTTTGTTTATTAATTTATTTTTTACTGTGACCTCCAAAAGAGTTAGAAACAGGGACTCAGCAGCTGATCCTCCGTAGAAAAACTACCGGTATAGGGACCACAAGCCATGTATTATTTATGTTTTGTGCTCTGTTTAGTGTTTGTTGTTGTCGTTTGGATTAAGGCAATAAATGCCTCCCTCTTTCACCACAGATGAACTGTTCCTGTTGCCATATCTTCTGCAATCAAACCGCAGAACACAAAGTAATCTAAAAGTAATAAGTCGAAGATCACATTCAGTATATCCTAAAGACCAAATGAAGAAAAATGGGAGCGGTCCAGGAGCGGGAGTCATTTTACCAGGAGTGGGATTGGACGGGAGTGAAAATCCACTCCTGTGTCACCCTCTATGGCCGAGCCAGAAATCGCTGGAGGGATTATATATTCTCTCTGACCTGGGAACGCACCGGCTGCCAGGAGCAGCTGGAAAATGTTGCTTCGGGGAGGGACGTCAGTTTCTCCTCGATCTGTTGCCTCCACGACCTGACCACAGGTGTAAGTGGTAGAAGGATGGATGGATATAACCTCGTTTTCAATTTGAACCCATATACAGGTGAGTAAAGTGACAATGTACCAATGTAGAGCAAACAACTGTCAGAAGACACGATGGTCACAATACGATTCAGCTTATGTTAAAATAACTCGGACTCAGAAAAGTGCAAAGAGAAATATTGTCCAGACCAATGTTTTATCAGTTTTATAAATATAGCTTTAAAGAAAATGTTTTTTGTGCTTCTCGGTAGCAAATGATCAATGAAAAGGGTCTGGTATTTGACCCAGTGATTGTGATTCCTGTGTAAGAACATAAAAAAAAATAATACAAACAATATTTAAGTATGAAAAAAGCTAAATTAGAATTTGGAAACTATTATTTTTTAATCAAACTTCATGCTCCATAATCCAGTTAAAAAAATCTTACAAAATTAAGTCGGGTCATCTGTACTTTTTGTTGTTATTGAAACACTTTCGTCCTTTATCCAAAGGACTTCATCAGTCCGAGGAGCCACAACAAACTCAGTCCCACAAGCAGAACACTCGCTTAGTGGGACAACCAGTTTGATGGAGATGAGATGGTTTCTGGAGTCCGCCTTCTCCCTCGTCGACTCTTGAGGCAGCCGTGACCGAAGTGGTTCAAAACATCAAAGCTCAGGTTCAATAATCCAGGTACAAAATGCAACAAAGTTAAGCCAGAAACCATCTTATCACCATCAAACTGGTTGGTCCACCATGTGACTGTGCTGCTTGTGGGACTGAGTTTGTTGTGGCTCCTCGGACTGATGAAGTCCTTTGGATGAAAGACAAAACATCTAAAAAAAAAGAAAACGTCCGGATGACCAGACTGTCGGGTTTTGAGCTTTAGTTTTCTAAAATTCATGTGAAACCAGGATAACATTTTGTCTCTTAAAATATTAATAAATAATAAAAAAGCTAAAACGTGCAGAGGACTAAAGAACCACTGAACAAAAAAATCATATGAAGTGTATTTTATTTTACAAAACTGAACAGTTTGTAGAAAATACAATCATTGATGTTAAAGTAAGACAATCACCTCCATTATTGATCTTTTTTTAAGTTCCACAAAACTTGGTTTGTTTGTATTAAATGTTAAAATATATAATTATTTCTGAAAAGCAGCACTGTTCCAAGAATCAGAAAGAGTTCAAACAGCGATCCCGTTAATATTCTGTAAATGTTCAGGCAAGTCTAAAAATGATGTGTAGATGCTACACACTTATCGTTAGCATTAGGTCTGTTTACTAACAGCGTTACACATTAAACGGTTTAAAAAGCACAAAGAAGTTGCCAAAATAAAAATCGTAAAGCTGAACTACCGGTATTTGTCAACAGAAAGGAAGTTTTAACACAGAAAGCATCATGTGAAACTATGTACAAGTTCAAAATAAAAGTTAAACCTGTTCTTTTTATGACCCAGAGTATTTTAACACTATTTGCCTGTTGATCAGTGAAAGTCAACAAAAAGCTGATTGAAATGCCTGACTGTGAACATCCATGGCCTCCACTGTTGTCACAGCAGCAAACGTTTAAAATCTACTACGAAGATCACCCCAAACTTTAAACTGACCAAGTAGTGCTGTAAGCACCTGGTACAGGTACGTAATCACCAGTAAATACCTGGTGCATAGCTGTTAGTTACTGGGGACAAACTGGTATGTACCAAGAACCTATCGTGTACATAACTGGTACACAAATAGTAACGGGTACTAACTATGTACCCAGTACATACCTGATGTAGAGCTTTTTATTACTGGGGACATAATAGCTACGTACCAGGAATGTTCTGGGTACATACTGGTACTAACCTAAATATCAGGCATGTACCAATTGTATGTATCAGGAAACTTTCTGGTACATAACAGGAACTAACCTAAGTAACTAAGTACCTGTTAAGTATAAAGCAATTTCTAGCCAAGTACCAGATATGTACCAGGTAATTACCAGGTGTGTAGCGTGTACGTAGCTAGTACCTACCACACATAATCGGTACTAACATGGTAAATGTAACACTGTAAAGGTTAACAAGTCACTTCACAATAAAGCCCAGTTCCTGTAGGTACCAGGTTCTGTACCTGGTACTCACTCTGCCTGTTCAAAGAGGGGATTGTTTTGTTGATGCACCCGTTTTGAAAACGGATTTCTTTAAGACGCAGGTAAGATGATGACCTGTTCTGTGTTTTGGCTCCGGAAGTGGCTCAAATGTCTCGTTTGTGATCGGATCTTTAAGGTCACAGGAACAAAAATGGAACTAAAATGACGTTTGGGTAAAATAGAAATAAGATCATACAGGACCGTCTCTCTGACCTTCAGGTCAGAACATGGGAGTTCTTAGAGTTACAGCTGAAACGGGAGTTTCTCCGCTGGTGGTTTTCAGATCGTTGGGGAACGTTACTTTTCTTGACTCTGCCGCTCCGACAGGACGTCCTGCAGACGCTTCAGCAGCACATCTTGACTGCTGCCGTTCTCTGGACACGTCCTCTTGTTTGGCGAGTCGCACATAGGTGACATCATCACATCCCCTTCCATAGTGAAGGCCCGTTTCCTGCTCACACATCCCTGCCGGATCATCCGGTTTATGTCGGACAGCTCCTGTGTGGAGACAGTGAAGGGTTCGTTTCATTTTGCCCATTTTCTAAAGCCTCAAATGACTGGAAATGAATTTGATGAAACTTGGGATTACAATGTCTTGTACGGCAAACAAACCTTTAAATTACTGAAACTTTAGCTGCCCCGGCGACAGCGTTGACTGACGGGGATTTTGACATTTGCAAGATTTAAATTTTGAATTAAAGGTTTTCGCAGATTTACTGAACACCTCAGCTAAAACTCAGCCAGTACTAAAATTTGATGTTAGCTCCCAGTACACTGAGCGCTAACTGAATGTTTCTATATATTTTTCTACTTCTCTATCACCTATTAGCATCAACTCTGTCTGTTAGCAAAATATCTCATGAACCGCTGGATAGATTACAGTGAAAATGTCAGGAAATAGTCATTGGATGTGCATCTACTGATTCAAAGGGAAAGAGCGCCACTTCAGAATAATTTCTGTGGATTTCTGGGATTAAATCTGAAAAGGAATAGGTCAAAGTGCTCAGCAAAGTTTATGAGTTAAATGGACTGCACTTATATACCTTTTATATACTTATACTATAAAGCAAATCTGAATCTGTAGAGAATAATCAGAGCTTTTTCACATCCATACGCCGATGGGACACACATTGGAGGCAATGAGGGGTTCTGCGTCTTGCCCAGGGACACTTCGGCATGTGACCGGTGGAATCGAACCCCCAACTCTTGCATTGAAAGACGACTGCTCTAACCACTCAGCCACAGCTGGCCCTATATATATTTTTTTTACTTCTATTCATCTTTTCATAGGTCCAAATGTAAATCAAAGCGATTGATCCCAGCAACCGTTTGTCTGTTTAACTTCCTGAAGCTCTTGGAACAAAAAGAACGAGCTCTAGTTCCTGGTGTGTGTGTGTGTGTGTGTTCTTGCCTTGGACGGGCTGCTGTTGATCCTGTAGGTGTAGGAGTTTGGTGTGAGACAGCCGGCGGAGTTCTTGTGAGGGGACACGTACAGCGAGTGTCTCTGACTGACCCGGCGAGGCGACAGAGGATGAGCTCGGACCGACGGGAACGGAGACAGAGGAGGAGCGTCCGCCTGGAGGAGCCAACACAGTCGCGTCACGCTGCAGCTCGTTACAAACACAACACCACTGTGAAGAACCGTCGCTGTCGTACCCGGTTATCGTTGGCGGCGTATCTCAGCGCAAAGCTCTTCATCTTCAGGACGAACACGGTGTTGTAAAACTCGATGAGGTCACCACGTACCTCCCCTCCTGATTGGCCAGAATTTGTGCCACCTGCGAGCGGATTGGCTTTCTCTGCAGCTACGGAAACAGACATCAATCGATTAATTCAAGTTATTTAAAAAAGGGGCAAACTTATAGAGTGGTAACTTTTCTAATGTCTTTTTTTTTTTATTCCTAATTCTTTTAATCCAGAAAAGAAACACAATAAATGATTTTACAACTAGTTACGAGTTGCAGACACATAAACGTTTCTTTTTATTAAACCTTTATTGGCCCTTCATCTGAATTTAGAAGTCACCTGCTTCTAAACTATAAGACAAGACAACCGTTCAAAAAAAACAGATAAAAAGTAGAAATTACAAAAGACTAAAGTAAAAACTTTTTTATTGCTTATATGCAATATCTTCTGTATTTGTTCTCAGTAAAAAGCTCATTTTGTTTCTTTGAAGATGCAAGTTTTGAGTGCAGAAGCTGAACTGGGACGTCACTATTTCAATGGTTTCCATCTCAAACCTTCTGTTAAATTCTAATTATTCCAAAACCTTCAAATTACCAACAGCAAGTAAAAAATATTGAGAAATAAACAGTGTTGTTGATTTATTACTTTGAAATGCAACAGCGGACCACAAGTTGTTGATGACGTCTTTGACGTTTTCTGCTTTAAGCGTTCTGCTGCACAGCCTGTTTTTAAAGCCACGTGTGTCTGAGCTTACATTCTCCTCCTGAAGCAGAGTCCACCTCCATGTTTTCATCAGCTGGATGCACCCTGGGAGTCCGACGCAGCAAGACGCTGCGATACACCTGAGCACACAACGTGCACAGAGTAAACCTCTGCGCGGCTTCAATTGGAAACGTTCATTAAAGTGCGTTTCTCACGTGGCTGCTGGCTTGAGGCTGGCTGCGGTAACACTTCATGATGTCCTGGAAGGTGTGAGTGTCTTTGGTGATCTAAGATAAGAAAATTAACGCAGTTAATCTCAGAGTTCTTAAAGGAACTGCAGTTACGCTCAACACTTCTAGAAAAATAAATTTGATTTCATTAGGGATACAGCCGTTGTCCAGATAAGAGGTGTCATTCATCATCAGCTCGGTTGAGGTTCTGTCATGTCCACGGCCTTGGGGAGGGGGGAGGAGACAGACAGAGCGTCTTTGTTTTTCCTAAACATGCCAGGAGGAGTTGAGATAAGTCCGCCGTCAAGAACACAGTTTGGGTCAGGCAGAACTTATGAATTGCAGTTTCTGCCTTTTTAAAGTCTCGCTGGTATATATTCTTCTGATGGTAAATCCCAACAGCCGAATTGATAATTTACGCCGAAAGTCGAGCTCACAGCTTCTCCAAGATTATTCCCACCATTCATGGGTGCTGCCAGTGAGTTCACAGTCCTGATAACAGCTGCTCCAGCTCTGACGCAGCTCCACATAATTCAGTCTGAGTGCTGCCGAGCTTCGACACATTCACACGAATTTGTAGACGATCCAGAATTCACCAGCCAAAAAGCAAAAAACCAGTTGTCGTCATGAATCCAATTTGTTTCCGTGGAGGTAAGAGGGTCCTCATTACCCTGACTCCTGTCGGGAGAAGTTGATCAATTTTGTTGAGAGACCAGTTGATCAAATCCTTTGAATTAGGAAGGTATGCAGAAAAAAAAAGAGGCTCTTTAAGGGTTCACAAGACGAAAGAGTGCAAGCAGTGAAGCGTGCGGACGGAGCACAGGAAGACACGTCTGTCTTCGTCGAAGCACAGAGAGAAAAAATCTTGCTTTGGCTGAAAAAACAGATTAAACTTGTAACATTTGGTGTAAAAACAGATTAAACT